GCCAGGTGGAATAGGGGGCATTGCTTAGGACAGATTCCATTCGCATCAGAGGCTTCTTGCTCTTGGGACTGGCCTCTATTTGTACATCTCTGATAGTACAAATAGAAAAGACCTATAGCAAGGCCTGAGAGACGACCTAGATTCTCTGCAGCCAAAGAGAATGGTATTTCCCCAGGTACTGTCCAGACACAAGACTTTTTGTAGCAACATACAGTATCTAATTTCAATAGATTCTAGCAACAGGCAAATGGCATCTTTTCCTGAAGATATGCTATAGATTCCAACTGAAATAGGTTTCTCCTATAAAGGGGCTAGTTCACTCTCTCCTTTTGCAGAGTTCACAGATTCTGCTTATTTCATGATCATCCAGGAGTAAGCACAAGAGTCTCCTTGAAGTTTGCCCTGGTCTACCTCCTGTTTTTCCACCTTCCCTTGGAAAGGAAAAATGGCCAGGAAAATATACAAAGACCAGGCAGTGGTCATTCCAGTAGCACTTTGAGGGCTATGGCTGTCCTATTCTCCTCAGTTAGGTGTGGAAGTCAAACAATAGCTCTTTCCAAATATAGTAATCCTGGTGCAACAGGGTTAATCCTGATCACCAGTGCCTAAAGCTTCCCATCTGGAGCTTCAGAGATTAACTTCTTGGGTGTATTGAGGCATTCTGAAATTTTAAATTCATTGGGGTCCTAGCTGAAATATTATTCCTCCTGCCTTGCCCATGAAAGTTATCATAAAATCTGATTATCAGTTTTCTTTGTAAGGAATTACAAAGCACATATTTAGACTTTAATCTCAGCAGTATGTGTGGTGCATCTTCTCCTCTTCGGCTGTAGACTTTGGTCACATTGGCAGTGTTTCTTTGTAGCTGTGATTCGCAATGCCTACTTCTAAGTCACCCTGAGGACTGAGGCCTTGGCTACACTTGCGAGTTACAGCGCTGTAAAGCCGCCCACAGCGCTGTAACTCACTGACCGGCTACCCTGGCAGGGCACGTACAGCGCTGTATCTCCCTGGGTACACCGCTGCAGGTACTCCACCTCCCCGAGAAGCATAAGAGATACAGCAGAGTGGCTACGACTCTCCCCTGTGAGTGTGTACCAGGAATCAACCTGCAGCGCTGTACTGATCACCTTGTCAAGTGGCCAGTCCCCTCCATTGTTGTGACCGGCTGCAGGAATGCGGAAGTGCCGATTTCAAAGCTCGTACCACAGAGAAAAAGCAAACAGTTTGCTGTTTGCTTTGAGTGAGTGAATGAATGAGCAGGGGGCCGGGAGTTCGGAACTTGCAAAATAGAGTGCTGATATGCTCCAGAAAGCACTCTCTCTCCCCCCACACTCCCTGTCACACTCCACCCCACCCCACCCCTGTTTTGAAAAGCACGTTGCAGTCACATGAATGCTGGGATAGCTGCCCATAATGCACCGCTCCCAACACAGCTGCCAGTGTTGCAAGTGTGGCCACGCCACTGCGCTGGCAGCTGTCAGTGTGGACAGACTGCAGCACTTTCCCTACTCAGCTGTACAAAGACAGGTTTACCTCACAGCGCTGTACAGCTGCAGTGTAGCCAAGCCCTGAGGGTTATGTGAAGCTAAAAACTCTCAATAAAGTTACTTTTAAACAGCAGGATGGGAGCCTATGCAACAACTCAACTAGTTACATTGAACTTCAGGGTGGTACCATGCATTTGCATTCAGAAACAGGTTACGTTTAGATCAGATATAGATAGCAAGTGTTAACTAAACTCAACCTAAAAACTCTGACAGTTTTTCCTAGTCAAGACAAAGTCTGTGTTGTGCCTAATATTCACCATTCAGAAAGAGAGGATCCAGAGGCAGCCAATCATGTTACCATCTCAGCCCAGACTCTGTGCCCTAATGAAAGGATTAAGATAGATACCGAAAATCTTTGGGATTGAGTTTCATGAGATGAGCAGGCAAACTATTTCAGAGTAAGAAGAAGGAAGCAGGTCTTGGAAGATGCAATGATACTGGCAGGCCTGCCGCAGTATGTGTAAAGAGGACAGATAATAGGAGTCACCTTAAGTCCCTCCTGTGAGTAATACATCTGGATCTAAAGTGTACACTAACTGGTCATTGGGTTTTGGGGGTTTTTTTTGGTTTTGTTTTCTTTAAGATGAAAAGAGAGAAGGAAGGGAAGAAATAAAAATTGATTGCAGTAGCCCAGTTTGGCAGGCAATTCTTAATTTCTCAGGAAGTCCAGAAAGATTACACTGTGTCCCTTAATCACCTTACTCTTGGTAGTTCAGGCAGATGTGAGAGCAGGACAATAACTCAACTGAATGTTTTTCCTCCTGAGGTAATAAAACAGTATGGGGAATGAGGAGTATTATGCATTTATTTTACTGTAAGCATACAAAATAAATGACTTCCTTGGGGGGGAGAGGAGGGAAGCTCTTACTTCATGTCTATCATCAAAGCGTGCATCTGTTCCTAGGAGGGGGAATTTAATGTAACTGTTACATTGTAGTCGTACTTTGGAAATATCAATCAGCTGGTGGTATAGAAAATTGTTTACCACACCTATATTACAATTTTTGAGGCTTTTCTGAGGAAGGAGGGCTAAATAGGATACCCCTTTTTTTTCTTCCAAAGAACACAGACCATCAAATAATAATTGTCTCTGTAGGTTTTTGCTTCTAGCTGTGGCATTGCAGGTTATAGTCAATACTGGAGGTGTGTTCAAAGCATCACTTTTCTATTTTTCCAGATAAAATATTAATCCTATTTATCACAGGACTACTTTCATCACAGTTAGAAAACTGCTCTAATAAATAGCAATAATCCATGCAATCTTGTTTATGAAACTGAATAACAGTTTTCAGACTTAAAATGTAAGGGCTACATTCTGCCTTTGAATACGTATATGTACCTTGCTGGATCATTTCTAAAATCATTTTTTACACAAGGTAGAACTGTTAAGTGGTGAATCAAGTATGTGTTGGTCTTTGCTTAGGCTAGCAGTGGAAATGGTTATATGTAGAATGGTATCACCATATCTATATTAGTAATGTAGGAATAGATATTGCTTTTTTTCTATAAATAATCCATGACTACGTATGTAGTCTAAGCAAAGTATTAACTGGTTGCATGTATACAGTCATGGGGAAGGACATAATTTCCTGGATGTAACCACAGAGTGCAAATATTGTGCCCTAAATAACACACCAGTTACTGTAAATGTCAGCAGAGGGAGTTTTTCTGAGTTTGATTTAGTGAGAGCCTACAGCAAAGCCAGCTGTTAGCACTTCTTAATGGCTTGTCATTGTGCACAAGAGGGGGAAAGCATCATTTCTCTATATTTTTGTCTTGTGATTAAGAGAAGGAGACAATCTCTCTTGCACTTGCCAATGGGCACAGAATCAGAGCACCAGTTCTGCTTAATTTCTTTCTTTTGTTTGCATGGTGAATTTGCTGGTTCTTCGCACTGATGCCAGCCCAGGAAGCAAGGAATCTAGGAGTGAGGACTGGTTATTTTAAGTTAGTTCAGAGTGTTTCAAGTACACTGTTACCTCACAGAGAGTGTGTGAGTTTGTGTCTGTGTGGGTAAATCATTTTAGTTATCTGTCACACAGAGGAGGACACAGTTAATAAAAACAGACGAGACAGGAGTGAGAGACAGAGAACAAAATCACTTTTTCCCAAAAAAATCTTCTTGTAAACCAAGACAGCTCCCAATTGTTGTCATTTTCTGGAACACAGAACCACTTGCTATGAGCCAATACATAGCTCTTTAAATCACTGTGGATTCTGTGTATTGAAATAAAAATTCTTTGCAACTCTATGGGCTATGCTTTCAGCTACAACCTCTGATATTTGTGGCCATAAAAAGTGCCCAAAGTGTTTGCACACGAAGAATGTCCTGTATGAGTGGGGATTTCCATGCTGAATGCAGGTGACTTGACTCTCAGTTTACATGCACAGATACAGATGTGCTTACAATTTTGTAGTTGCAAACATTTATGCAGGTGCCAAAGATCATTTGAAACTAGTAGAAAATTTATCTCAAGGGATCTATATTCTCCTCTTGTGGATGTGTAATTTACAGTACTCACCATGCATTTTAAGGACACACTAGTCCCTTAAATGACAGAAATGTGTGGAGCTGCATTTGTCATGGGGAAACAAGTAGACACTAACCATTGTCTTCCCCAAATTATCTTTTGCACAGTATGAAATTTAGTATTATGGCCCTGTTATTAATTTAATTTTTTTCTCTTTGGGTATTACCTGTATAATGACATAATTTGAATGGCAAGTAGGAGGTGGCTATTTTAGTTTAGTTGTATAGGATGGGGGGTGAAGTTTTGAGTAGATCCTGTGTATCACTAGCAAACAAGTTTAGGAACTTGTTACCTTAGTAAAGTCAGGTTATGTTAATTTTCTTCTGATAACTATTTTTTAAAAGTCATCCCCTACCATTTCATTTTGTGCTGGTCTGGTCCCCATTTTGTGGCACTAATCCTAAAACCGACCAATATCAAGACTAGCTTTTCCTTTTGTAAACTCAGGAGGATCCATTTAATTGTGAGTTTGGGAAAAATATTGTAGTGTGTCATTTTCCAAGGTAAGCATCTGGAGTACAAATAATGTTAAACAGGCTGTTGAGAACAAGGATTGGGGAGATTGAAACTTTCAAAAATATCCTGTGCTTTGTTTCTCCCATTTTTTTTAAATAGGGACATAGAATCATAGAAGTGTAGGACAGGAAGGATCTCAGTAAGTCGTCAAGTCTAGTCCCATGCACTCAAGGCAGGACTAAATAATAAATAGACCATTCCTGACAGGTGTTTGTTTAACATAGTCTGGCCTGCAATTCTCTTCATGCACTTGCATAGCCAGGATACCCGGGTACTTGACTTTTTTGTTCCTTTCTTTGTATGGCAGAGCTTGGAATAGCTATATTCTCCTCAGAAGAGCTGGGATATTTGCCTTTAAGATAAAGAATAACTGTATTTTTTCTCTCTTTCTCTTCTTTTACAGCTTCTGCAATCCCAGATAATGGAAGGAGGTCCTGTCTAAAGCTTAAAGTCTTTGTGCGGCCGGCAAGTAAGTTTTTTAGATCAAGCTTTAGAGGGTGGCTTTATAGCGCATGCTTTACTGTGTGGTCTGGTAAACAGCAATAAACCTTTTTGTTTTTTTTACTGTTAAATCTTGTGTGGTATTTGTTCTGTATAGCAACATTTGTGTTTCAGTTTTCATCATATTTTCTTATCATTCTTCATAAAGCTTTTTGTTTTATTACCTAGCAGTTGCTAACTTGTTGTTTCTTAAATTGTTGTACAAATGGACGACTATACTGGCATTTGGACAAAAGCCGCAGACTTTAAAATATAAATATATATAGATATATATTTTTAAAAAAATAGAGAGAAAAGATAGAAAAAAAAAGGAAAGGGGAGTTTAAGGGTGTCTCACTAACATATTTGGCTGTTATCTCTATTTTTGTTATAGACAGCTGTATGAAAACTATAGGTGTTCATGATCGTGTTTTCGATGTTAACGACAAAGTAGAAAATTCATTAGAACCAGCAGGTTAGTATGCTTAGAGAATCTCTTTTAACAAATGCGTCTATCCCTCTGGTGCTTCAGTACTTTTTTTCCTCTCTTTCTCTCTGCATGCTTTGCATGGTATAATTGCTCTGCTTTAGCTCGTTTCTAGCAGTGCTAATATTGCTTATGGTATACCTCATACCTCCAGTATCCTTATGTAGTGCATGGGAGACAAAATGTTGCTTTTTTGTGGCATATGGGTTAATAAAATGCAGTTCCCAAATTTAAAATATCCAGTGAAGTGTCCAGAAGTCACTTTCTGTTCCATCTCACACCCCCAGCATGTTGACAAACCACTCTATCTACTAAATGGGTCCAGAGTTTAAGAAAGATAGCAAATGTCTGAACTGTAAATACTCTAGTTTCATGTCGTTTGTATTCACATTTAAAAGGAATTGGGTACTGCTTATTTAATACTAATGCATGACACAGGCATGTAACTGATAAAAGTTAGTGTTTTCCTAAATAATTCATTTGTACACTTAGTTAGGGAAAGTGTTGTTATAAATTTTCCCCATCTAGTTTTTACAAGAGAGTTGTAATCATGTCATCTTGTGGTCCACATACAAGAGCAAATATATTCTAAAATCTTGTGGCCTCTCTTTGTATCCAAGTGTTATAGCCTTAGAAACAGAAAGAAAGGAAATATTTGGTGATATAAGCATTCTCCTTCTCTCCTCCCACCCAAGTGCAGAGTCAGCAATAAGTCAAATTAATGTCTGCCATGAAAGTGTGTGTGTGTGTGTGTGTATGTGTGTTTATATATGGTTCAAATCATGCACAGATTTAGACACATGCTTAACTTTAAGAAAATGACTAACCCCACTTGACTTCAATGGGACTACACATGATTAAAATTAAGCATGTGTGTAAGGCTCTGGAGAATCAGGGCCTAGATGTGTATTGTATAGAGACATGCACACATAGTAATGCACTACTAATTGCAAATGGGTAATTAAACACACTATACAAAAAATTACACAGACACAATTTTTAATGCATAATTCAGGGAGCACACTACAAAAACCTTCTTTTTTAGGTTACTTGGAAAAGGAACTTCCCTTTGATATGAAGCAACAAATTAATTTTTCCTTCCTCCGTTTTGTACTGGATATGTTTGCTGATACTTTCAGCTGAACTAGGTTATTATGCAGCAAAATAAATAAGACTTTAAGAAATTTACCAGTCTGAATGATATGCCTGTGGACATACACTGTCTTTCATTATTTTTTACTCAAGAGGATGTTCAGGACTCTCTAAAATGTGTTGATTTTGGGGACTGACTAGATTCTCTAAACAAATGAGAATTTAAATGCATGCTGACTCCAAGCAATGTATTTTTGTCACAATAAATGTAGTAGTTTTATTATTTTAGTATACTCCTAGAAGAGACCATAAGGGCAATATCTCCCTAATTGTTCATAACCTAAGAATCTAGAAGCCCTATGTGTTTTCTTCTGATATGAAATGTAGTAAATACTGGCTAATTAATGCATACACCCTTTGTTAATGGTTTGCAGCAAAGACTTCAGTCTGGGTGAGACCAATAACAAAGAAGTGCTTTCAGTAAAGATAGCGGGTCACATTTTCAAAAGTGCTGAGCACCTGCAGCTCCCATTGACTCTGTAGCGCCTACTTAGCACAGTAACAGAAGCAAATCATTAGAAGACATCAGGCAATGGGGAGACTAAACCACATGGTGGGCATCCTGCAGACAGAGATGAAGTGGAGTGGTGCCACGAGGAAGAAAGATGGGCTTAATAAGAAGTTTATATTTAGAACACATCAGTTGCCAAAAAACTCCCACGCCCAAGAGCATTGCATATTCACAAAATTATTTGAGCTAATCTCCATTTGATAATTAACCATTCCTGGATCTGCATTGCTGACGTGCTTCTTTATTATTAGGATGTAAGACAGTGGATCTTGTGGCATGCTGTCTGCACTATGTACTAATTTACCTGTCCTTGGAATGCATTTGTCTGTTTTCTGTCTTCTCACATTGTCCGCCACCATATTCTGTCAACAAAGGACACCAGGGTTGGGGCAGGTCAGGGGCACGTTGTACAATTGCCAATCATTCTATCTAGAAATCATTCTTGTAAAAATTGGGCACTTATGTGATGACCTTCCTGCTTTCAAACAGTGTTTGTTCATAATCAGGAAATGGCAGGAAACTGACAAGTGAAAAGTTACTTCTTAATTACAGAATTTGGGTTTGTAGCCATAAAACCCCATAAAAACTTCAGAAGCCATGAAATGTATCAAATTCAAAAAGGCAAAGTTAAAATAAATTCTTCCCTCAAATGAAATTGTGGCTGTGCATTTCAGGCCAGAATTAGGCCCCCAGGGTATAATTTAAAGTGATGGTATCTAGAAAATTAATATTTAAGACAGATGTACTAAAGTGTGGTCTATTTTCATTTCCTATCTTCTACGATGGTAGTGACATTCTAGTTTTTACTAGAGAGGTCCTAGTTTAACTTTGCTTTTTGTTAAAATAAGCCAAACCCTTTCCCCTAAGTATTTAAGATTGTTCAAGGTTTTAACTGCACAAATGCAATTAATAATAATATTTATAAAGCAATATAGGAACCAAAGATAAAAAGTGTGCTCTACTGTACAAGTGCAAAGAGACCTTGGGATCACCTTGCCAAAAAGCCCAGATTCTACTTTGAAACCCTTAATTTATACCCCTTAATGTTACATGAAAAAAGCAGTTCTACTTTGAAAAGCGGCTTTACAAAAATGGCATCATAGGGTCCTTCAACTATTAGGTCTCAGTGATTTCCAAACCAGATTTGTTCATTTACAAGTAAAAAGGATTTGGTTTTTGTTTTGTTTTGTTTTGTTTTAACCAAATTGCCAGTGCTGCAGTCACCATGGGATCTGTAACTCAAGCTGCCATTTGTATAATCACCACTCACAAATTCTGCCTTTATTTACACCAAGGCAGCCCTGTTGCCTTTAGTGCTGTTTCAGGGGTATGACTGAGGCCAGAATTTCATGAGTGAGGGTTGTACAGGGAATTATAGGTGGCCCAGGAAATTGAACTTAGTTTGCAATTTTATTGATGATACGTGAGATAGAAGAGAATCGATTTCATTCCCTCAGGGGTTTTGGTTTGACAGTAGTGAGTAAACTTTTCCTCTAAATTGAGCAGATCGGGACTCTGAATATACACTGGGAGCAGATATGATGATTAGGAAGATGCTATTCTTACACAGAAATTTTTCAGAATATTTTTTCAATGAAAGACTCCTTTAAGAAATCTTCCATTCATAAAGTAACAGCATGAAACACGTAAGTGTGTAAATCAGAAGTAAAAATTGTGACATTGCTTTTGGGCCATATGCCCTTCTGACCCAGTTATCTGGAACTAGTGAAGTTCTTTAACTATCTGTTGCAGTTACATACTGTAATTTGTAAAGTGCTTTGAAATGAAAGACACTGGATGAAAGATACTATGGGCCTGATTCAGAACCCATTTAAGTCAATGAGAGCTTTTCCCGTGTATAAACGGGAAAGTTTAGTCCACTCCTGAAGTCATTACTCTGACATGCCTACCATTGACTTTAGTGGTACTTTCATTTGAATGAAAGACTGTGTTTGTCCCATTATAATGTAACATAAATAATATAATAGAATATTTTTCTTTGAATATCAGTTAATCTGCATGCTTGGTACCTGCTTTTCATAGTTATACCTTGAAACAAAATTGAAAACACGTCATGATAAACTTGAGACTGTTCCATTGGCAATTTGTCCTGGAGTCAAACCTTTGATAGATTGCTAGTCAAAGTTACTATACAGATTCCAGTGATTTCAGATTGGGTCTGAAGAGCCTATGGACCCAAAATTGTACTTCCTTTATATTTTAATATTGCATGTTGGGTGCCATTACAATGCAAATAGGGGTTTCTTTAAAACTGCTTTTAAACTAACATTAAGGGGTACACTTTCAAAACAGTGTGGCATTTTTAGCACTACTTCCCCCACCAGTGTCACTAAGGAGAGTTGTGCAGCTCACATCGTACACAATCCTGGCAATGTAATTTGTATACGTAGGAATTACTTGACTCACCATGGAAATGCAGAAACATCTTGCACAAAATGCAGCAGTTGTTTATTACACTAAGTTGTAAGTGGCTGTGAATTTTGCTGTGAAATTCTTTTAGTTAGGGTGGATCAGAAGAAATGTCTCAACTTATAAGTACATTTTTTAGACCGCTTTTATCCCCAGCTTAAGAGAGATGAAAATTAAAATATCCAAGTTCAATAACTTAACCTCTGAGATACATACTTGTGTGATGGAATTGGTAAAATGACGCACAACTACAGGTATATTAAAGATAGTTTAATGTGATCTGTGTACAGTTTCTTTAAAATGTCTTATTGTGTTAATAAGAAATTTTGTCAGAAATTTAAAAGCTTATAAACAGAGAAAAACTGTTCTGCCCATTATGTTCTACTACTAACATACATGCACTTTGCAATATTTTTTTCCAGTGATGCTGGCTGATTTACATTAGTTTTAGATTTAGCAGAGGATATGAGTAATCTGTTATACACAATAGATAGTAAATAACTATTTATGAAGAGTTATCAAGTTTTGCATGTTTTCTCTTTCAGATCAGTGATTGTAACCTGTTAGCATTTTTTCTTGTATTCATACTTCTGGGGGGGGAGGGGGAATTACAGAGCCTCTTGCCACATTCCTTGCGCACCCCAAATTCCAGTTGACTGTACTGGAAGTTTTGCACATGGAGTGGACGCATAGGCCAACATTCCAAACTTAGAAGTCTAAAGGTAGACTCCTAAATCTATGCTTAGGTAGCTAAGTAAGGGATCTGATCTTCAAATGGCTAAGCACCTGCAACTCCCACTGAAGAATCTTTGAAAATCAGGCACTCTTATTTAGCTGTGTAAATATGGATTTAGGTGACTAACATTAGATACCCAAGTTTTCACAGATTCTAAGACCAGGAGGAACCATTGTGATCATCTAGTCCAGGGGTGGGCAAACTTTTTAGCTTGAGGGCTACATCTGGGAATAGAAATTGCATGGCGGGCCATGAAGGCTCACAAAATTGGGGTTTGGGTGTGGAAGAGGGTGGAGGCTCTGGTTGGGGGTGCGGGCTCCAGGATGGGGCCAGAAATGAGGAGTTCAGGGTGTGGGAGGGGACGCCAGGCTGGGGCGGGGGAGTGAGGTGCAGGGGAGTGAGGACTCCAGCTAGGGGTGCAGGCTCTGGGGTGGGGCTGGAGATGAGGGGTTTGGGGTGCAGGAGGGGGATCAGGGCTGCGGCAGGGGGTTGGAGTGTGGGGAGAGGTTCAGGGGTGCATGCTCCAGGCAGCGCTTACCTCAAGCAGCTCCTGGAAGCAGCGGCATGTCTCTTCTCCAGCTCCTACATGGAGCCGCGGCCAGGCGGCTCTGCATGCTGCCCCGTCCGTGGACACTGCCCCTACATCTCCCATTGGCTGCGGTTCCTAGCCAATGGGACCTGCAGGGGCAGTGCTTGGGGCGGGGGAAGCATGCAGAGTGGAGCTCCCTGGTTTCCCCTACACGTATAGCCAGAGGGGGGCCATGCCACTGCTTCCAGGAGCTGTGTGGAGCAGCCCCCGACCCTGTGCCCTGGTTGGAGCCAGAGCACCGGAGTGGGGTAAGCTCCAGACCCTGCTCCCCAGCAGGAGCTTGAGGGCCAGCTTAAAACGGGCTGGCGGGCCAGATTCGGCCAGTGGGCCGTACTTTGCCCACCCTTGATCTAGTCAGACCTCTTGCAAATGTGAACCATACTGTTTTATTTTAGGGGCAACACTGCATTCCTTACCCTGGCAAACCACCAAGGCCCTCATTTTTGCTCCCATTGGCTTGAGTGGGAGTCTTGCCAGAAAAAGGAATAAGCAAGGAATGCAGGATTTGGTCCCAAGTTTGTTACATAATGAGTTATGACACGCTCATGGAAGTCAATGCTAGTACAAGGTTCACTGCCCTTCTTCACAGAGGGTACTGAAATCTACTTGCAGCAGACTGCTGAAAGGAAGCTTATTAAGGATGCAAAACCTCATCGGAATGTATGCTTTCTGTTTGAACAGATGATACCGTACATGAGTCAGCCGAGCCATCCCGCGGTGAGAATGCAGCACAGACACCGAGGATATCCAGCCGGCTTTTGGCAACCCTACTGTTCCTCCTGGCGATGCTTTTGACATTATAGCACACTATATTCCAGTAACCTGTCACAGAAAACATCAGGATCTTGGAACATCAAAGATCCACCTAACTGCTCCTCCCAAAAAGGGACTTTATATTGGTTTTGCAGATGTTAATTTTTGGGGGGGCGGGGGGGTTGTTTGTTTGTTGGTTTGTTTTTCTTTCAGCCTGAACTATGAGCAAGAATTTGAGGGGAATAACTAGTTTCAGTTCCCAACCTTCCCCATGACTTTCCTTGACCCCTCCAAAAATCAAAGGACTCAAAGTGAAAATGCCAAATTATAACAGTGATACTAGTGATTCTTACTTTCCTCTTCATTCTCCTTTAAGAAGTCACCTCCACTAGCTCTCTGTGTCATCTGTATATGGATACGGAAGAATAGTGGCAGATGCAGTCAGTGAAGGATAAGGAACCTGAGTGGAAGTCCAGGAGGGTTTTACTCTCCAATACAATATTTATGCCTTCTCGTTCAGTACTGTAAGATGATCATGCAAGGCATCATGTCACCATGTCAGGACTTGAGGGGAAATATTAAGAACAGATATAACACTATTTTCTCTAGGAGTTTCTAAATGAACAGGCTTCTAAAAGGAAGAGACACTGTTTCTTATAAGACTGTCTTGTAACATCATTGACAGTAAAAACCTGTGCTCCATAATAGAAGCTCTGTCTTTAGAAAAAAAATATTAATATTTAGGAATTTAGCACACAGCAAGCAAGGTCAGATTTAGGAAACTTAGGTGGGGGTGCGAGTGCCTCTGTTATTTCCATTTAAGTGGGTAGTGCACACCAGATTATTTTCTTTCAAAACAGATCACCATGGTGCTACAATTTTTTTTTCTTGAAATGCAAAGAGGCATTTTTTTGTGACTAAAGTGACCTTCCCCAGGGCTGACTTAGTAGCTGGTAGCCTTGTATGCAGCTCTGGGTGACAATATGTTCTAAGGAGAGGACTTCAGTGGCCAGAGGAAACATGTTTTGGACACGGGATATCCAATGTGTTCTTGATTTGTCTCCCCGGCAAGTTCTACCATCATGGGAATAAAAAAAGCCAGAAGAAGCCAGGACAGCCAATCAGCATTGTTTGGTGGGGGTAAGTGGGGATAAGAAAAGTGTTTGAAAGTAAGGAATACAAATTGAAGTGTTGATTTTATATCTTTTCCCGTTCCAACACAGTTTGAACAGTAGAGGAAACATGTTTATCAGCAGGAGATAAACCAGATGGGCTCCCAAAGACTTTAACAAAATATTTTTTTAAAAATCCACTAGAATAGAAAATACATTATTTAGATATACTTTATGCTGAGAGTGAGTATATATGCTTGTCTTATTTAAACGTGAGAAAAGTGGTAACCCTTGATGCAATTAGGAATATGGGAACTGTTTTGTTTGATGGAATTGGGGGGTGACCCTGTTTAAGGAATCTGAGCATGGCCAAGAAAGGACTTGAGAAGTCATTGACCAGGAAATGCAAGCCTTGGGGTTTCTATTGGCGAGGCTGCCATGATCTTTGAAATCTGAAATATAGTCAGGGAAATGTGTCAAGCCAATATCAAAACAAAGTCTTTCAAACAAAAACTGATGATTATGATTATGTTGAATGTGAAAAAAATGGAACCCATTCCAACAACAAAAAAAAAGGAATTTTATGTATTAGTTTTACAGAAAAAAGATAGTTAAAAATGAATAGGGGTAGGTAATGGGCTGCATTTTGTGAATATGATAATAAATTTAATTAAATTAAAAAGAGCTGCTTCCTAGAATTTTGAACAGTCCATGATCCAAAAAAGCGAAAGGAAGTTGTACACATGTTAAAATAAAATCTGGGGTTGCCTGATACTATACAGTATGGATATTGATGCAGAAGCTGCCCTTGAGATAGAATCAAGGAAATTTCTACTAATATGGAAAAAAAAAAAAAAAAACACACACACACACACACACACACACACACACACACACACACACACACACACAGTAGGTAGGGG